AAAGGTCCTAAGACTGAGCACTGAAGTACCCCACTTGTGACATTAATCAAAGTTAACTTAACTCCATTTGTAACAACCTTCTGCTTTCTTCCATGCAGTTACTCTTCTATCCAATTTGCTAACTTATCCCCCACACCTATAGAGATTTTTTTCTTTTACAAGCCTTTTATGTGGCACCTTGTCAAATGCTTTCTGAAAATCTAGATACACCAAATCTACACTCTTACCCTCATCTATAGAAACAGTAACCTTTTCAAAGAATGCTAAAAGATTTGTAAGGAAAAATTTTCCCTTAGTGAAACCATGTTGACTATCCAATAAAATTCTAAACTTTGTTAAATGATTTTGCAAAACATCTTTTATCAGACTTTCCAGAACTTTTTCCACAACTAATATGAGACTAAAGGGTCTATAGTTACTGGGACAATTTTTATAACTTTCCTTGAAAATAGGAGTTACATCAGCTAACTTCAAATCCTCTGGTACCTGCCCACTATTCAAGAACTAACAAAGAATAGTAGCAAGTCACTCACATATACAATCTTTAACCTCCTTCAAAATCCTTGGGGAATTATTATCTGACCCAGGAGCCTTATCATTCTTTAAATTTCCCAATTTTGTCTTAACCAACTCAGAATTAATGCAGTCATCTAGTTCGATGTTGTTTCCACCTATTAACTGTTCAAGATGTGGAATACTGCTTAAATTCTGCCATCACATAATCATCAGATACTAGCCTTCCTTTATCATCCCTCAAGGTTCATACCCCTATCCCTAATGTATTTAAAGAAATCCTTGCTGTTAATTTTTACATTTTCAGCCAACCTTTTCTCATACATCTTTTTATGTCCTAATTTCCTGTTTCACTAACTTTCTTGATCTTCTATAATTTTCTAAATCTCCTGTCATACCAGTCAATTTAAATTTCTTAAATTTATTATGCCTTTTTTTAATTTTATCTCTTATACTCTTTGTGAGCTAACCTGAGTTTTTACTTGCAGCTTCCCTTTTCTTTTTATAAGGAATATATTTACCTTGAATATTTAAAAAATTTCCACATCTGATCAAATAATTCAGCTTCCCAGTTCACGACAGATAATTCTTGTTGCATCCCTTCAAAATTTGCTTTTTTGAGACTTTTAACCAAAATATCATTATTCCTTATCTCCATATGCAGCAAAACATTGAACCTGATAGAGCAATGATCACTTGTGCTCAGATTTTCCACAATTACCACCCTCTCAATCATTTCTATATTTGAAGTTAACAATAAGTCTAAAATAGCATTGTTCCTAGTGGGTTCCTTGACTAGTTGGTGAAGAAACCATCTTGAACAGTTTCATAAAAACCTTTATCCCTCACAATTTGGCTCTAGCATTTCCCAATCTGTATGCCTGAAATTAAAATCACCCATAATTATGACTTCATTAACAGCTGAAACCTTAATCTTATTGCACAAACCTGTACGATTATATTTTTCTCTTTAGTCTTCAGTAGTTGATTGCCACAGTTTTTCCTAAAGAAAAACATGTTCTCCTATGTTTTAGCAAAAGGGCACTTAGCATTATATTCTTTTAAAAGCCAGAGAGGTGCATGTTCTTACCTATTGTCTTCCAAATTAACCATAGACACGGGACTTAACAGTCATCTGACACATCACATTACCAGGTTTTTTTTGGTTTTTTTTATATACAAATAAATGATGTTCTACAAATGTGTGTGTATTTTTGAGGGTAATTTAATGGACAGTCTGAGAAAGTTATTATCCAGTGGTTAATTTTGCTCTTTTCTAATAAAAATATTTCAAAAAATTTATCTGTCTAGTTTCCTAACTACTGAAATAGTTTATTAAAAGATGATTATTTTTATTGACTTAAAAGCATAAAAAAGATGTTATGACTTAATATTTGTAGCAGGTGTAGAGTTTTGTGGATATTCATTGCCTCAACTGCTGCTGCTTTGTCTTTATTGTGTATAGTAATGTAGTTTTAGATATAATGTGTTTCATGTTATCAGTAATAAAAATAGTTTAGAAATAAACTACATTATTTATGGTAAAGTGTTGGTAGCCAAGTTTGGACAGCTGCATATGAAATAATTCAAAGCTGAGAAATATACATGTATTGCTTATTTGATACCTGTAGATCAAGCAGCTCAAAGCTTAAAAAAAGTTTCTGCAACTTGTTCTCTTCCTTGTTTATATATAAAATATAGATCTAACCAATATGAAAGCCAATTTGTGTCACATCACACTTGATTTCTCTTAATTTCTCGAAATAGGAGGAGTCATAAAAACCAAAATGCATTTATCCAGGTAGAATAGTTTGATTACTGTCTGCTCATTACGATTTTAGGTGAGCAAGGGGGCCGTGAAACCTTATAAGTTTAATGAGTGTTGGTATAATAAGCCTAAAGTAAAAATGTAATGTAGTATCACCTAGCCTAGAGTCAAATGCATAACATATATCATGAAAGTAAAAATATCAATTTAATTTTAAACTTAAATCATTTCTGAATTAAGCTATTTTCTGTTATATCACTAACGTTTTTAATAAAAAACAAACCTCTTTAAGCAAAGGAGACTCTGAATTAAGAAACCAACAAATATTGTTCCAGTTTTATTGTCTATAGATTTCATTTTATACTTTCAGTACATAGACTAACAACAATATTATGTTTTACTAAGCGACATGACATAAAAGCCATTGTTTGAATATAGTGTTACAAATAATTATTCTATGAATATGCCACAAATTCATTTCATGAATGATCTTAATTTTGATTGACTCGCAAACGAATTTACCAACGTTTGACTGCATCGACTGCACTTTTCTGTCTCTTTGTTGGTCAAGCTTGATTTTGCAAAATTTATTTACTTCAGTTAGCTATGAAATGTGAAGTTAGGGTATATTATGGGGTGGGGGTATGATTACTTGTCCCATCATTTTTGACGGGCTATATAAAAGTAGTGGAGCTAGTAGAAAATATGGTTGAGTTGTATCTGAATCATAGTTTGTATCATTCCATTTCACCTGGAAATTGGAAAACTAAAAATTGTGAAACAACTTGTAAGCAAAAAACTTTTAGATAAATGCCACAAAGAAAGTAGTTTGGGTATTGAATGGAGAAAGAACTAAATTATTGCTCTTAATGTTTAATAAATCTTAAATGCAAAAAAATTTCCTTTTGTTTTATGAATGTTTTTTGTAATATGTAAAAAGTTTTGTGATACTAGTTAACACTTTGTTATTGTCTAACATTATTTACATTATGTAACAAGAATGTTAAAACATTTTACAAAAATCTTTTTTATTGTAAATTTATTTTGTAGTATTCTGTCTTTGTTTAACAAATGTTTTGTAATTGTAGATTCTGGTTGATGGACTGTAGACAGGTTAATGAAGTTACAAAGTATGCAACTGAGCTTTATCGAGAAGCGGTACACGTTCCCTTTATGGCCAAATTTGTGGTGTTTGCAAAACACTATGAGCCTATGGAAGCTCAGCTGCGAGTCTTTTGCATGACAGATGATAAGGAAGAGAAGACACTAGAAAGCCAAGAAAACTTTTCAGAGGTTGCTAAGAGTCGTGATGTTGAAGTAAGCTTGTGTCACCTGTGGTTCATTTATTATACAGGGTTATTATAAAGAAAAATCCCATTTGTATAAAATGATTATATCTTAAGAGCTACTTAATCCAAGTGATAATCAACTTTTACCAGAGGCACAAAACAGAATCATAAATTTTATTCATGAAAGATTGGATATGGTTCAGGGTGTTTAGTAACCATATTATACAGGATATTTGAATTGTTTTCTTCATAAACTAACATTTAGAACATTATTATCAAACAAGCTGGGGCTATCATTTATATTGATTGCTCTGTGTAAGGGCTTCAAACAGATGTTGTAAGGTGTTCATTCAGGCAGAAATAATTAGTGAGGTCCTTGGATATTGCACTAGCAGATTTTTGGCTGTGGTGTTTTATCAAAAGAAATGTCTGTCAGAAGTTCTCATGAAATTTGTAGGATCTGAAAACTGCCATCAGAAATTGTAATGCAAGTAGTACTTGAACACTGACCAGAATGATGTTGCTTGCAGTAACTTAATTTTTAGATAAGCTTGATATGCTGAGGCTAATAATAATGGAAAGTATATTGTACACTTCTGTGAAAGTGTTTGTAAAAACCCTGTGCCAAGTCCAGACTTTCTTGAATGAAATGTGTGATACACAATATACCTTTCATGAGATTTAATTCCTCTAGGCAATTAGTTTTTAAAGTATAATTATTTTAAATATGGGTTTTCTTATAATCATCATGTATCTGATATTATTACTATGCTAATTTAGAATTATGTATATAAGTAAATAAATATACCTTAAGTTATATGCATAGTTTCTATAATAAGATTTCATCAGTTATAAACAGTATATAAGTTTTATGGGAAACCTTAATTTTGATTTTGGTGAAAATTTCATTCAAAGTTAAAGCATAAATGGATATATTCTTATATGCATCTGAATAATTGTTATAAAGAAAGGTTGGAAGTACAAATTTATATTTTGAAATTTTATGTATTCAGATCTGTGATTTGCAGAGAAAATAATTTTTTTATTTGAATTGAGGAATGTTATGAATTAAAATAGTTAAAAAGTAGTCTTCCAGATTTCTAGAAAAAAAACAAGGAAAGGTAACTAAATATTAAAAGAATGTACTGTATTTTATAATTATTTGTAGTGTTATGGTGATGTTAAGTTGTTAACTGTTTCACATGAAGGTGATTTTAAGATCTTTTGTTCACTCCATGAATAGGTCTTGGAAGGAAAATCTCAATTTCTAGAATTTGCTGGAAACCTTGTACCAGTTACAAAGTCTGGAGAACAACTAGCACTGAACTTTCAGGCTTTTAGAGAAAACAGGTTACCTTTTATTGTACGAGTCAAAGACCCACACCAGGAATCTGTTGGTAGAATAGCTTTTATGAGGGAGCCTAAAGTGAGCCGTGGTGAGCCTCCACAGACTCCTATATGCAATCTAAATATTGTATTACCTGATATTTGCAAGGTAAGGCAAAGAAGTTACCTTAAAAATTGTATTAAATATTTTTCTATATGGGTTTGAATGTAGAGTTATTTTTAATAGACAAAAGGCATCCTTTTGACCTTGTGATACGAACATACATTTCTTTGTGCAACAGAGAATATTAATCCTGCAAACACAATTCACTAAAATTGTCATTGAATTTACTTTAAAAGTTGGAGGAGAACCATCTAGTGATGAATCCCTCATATTTCTTCACACAGCAAGTATATGAGAATTTATGAATGACAAAGAATTGTTTATTTTTAGGTTTGATGATTTAATAATAGTTTTATGTTGTGTTATATGTTAATGTATGAATTTAGTTAATTTGTTATTTAAGATTGTGATGTATCATGTTTTACTTTACTTAATAGCTTATTTAAGGGTTTCTTATATTTTCTATTGTTTTGAGATCCTAGTTGATCAGTGATAAAACTTATGGACCAATTACATGATTTTTATTCTTTGTATATATGTTTTTCAATTAGCCACCATGTAACTAACATTTTAAATGTTTATGTCAAAATTAAAAATTGTTTGTTGGTGAGTGTGTTTGAATTGTAAGGTAATTTTGAATTAAAGGTTTTAGTATGCTTCATAGTAAGCATTTATTTACTTATGATAGATGTTTCTAGTGATATTTTGAATCTTGTAATTTTTACTCTGCTTTAGGATTAAAAAAATAAACTATTTTTCTAAACTTTTAACTAACAGATGGAATTTTATTAATTCTATAACAGCAGAAAAATTTATTTATATATCTATAAGATTTTTCTGTATTTAGAATTTTAAGTCATTCCATGTTTTTTAGTCTCAAAGGTGCTTTACACATTATTTGTCAGTTAAAAATCATATAGAGAAGCACAAATGCAATTAGTTCTTGAAAGAAGAGATTACTTAAAACTTATTAAAAACTTTGAATATGTAGCAGAGATATTTAAGAAAGTGTTAACTGCTTCAGAAAATTCTGTTTTAAGTTATATTTCTTTTGTTGTAAAATCTTAATTAAGAGAATTGTGAGAAGGATTTATCTCAGGGTAGACTTATCAGTTTCATTCCATTCAACATTTTTTAAGATAACGTCATTATTGATTTGACTTTTTTTTATTAACATAGTAGTCTTTAAAAAGGGCATTAGTGCATGAATTAGCTTTTGATCTAGTACCAAAGACTCTGCAGTTTAGCAAGAATCTATGTTCATTTCACTTATTTCAATTGAAAAATTAAAAAAATTGTTCTCTTTCTATGATGAGATATTCTATACAGTAATAACCCATAACAGTTGTTTTGTTTAATGTATTTTAATAATTATAACTTTGAAATAAATGTTATAAATTTTGTCAAGAGAACATATAGGTCTGATTGATATTGCTAAACACACTGACTTAGTAATAACAAACTGGATAAAGGAGGTAAAAAATCATTTTAAACAAGTGTGACTGTGTTAGAAAGTTCAACCATGTATTAGAAAAATTTGAAATCAAACAAAGATCTAACATTCGCTAGAGAAATAAATTGCAAAAGTACATCTTGCAGTTAAAGAAAGACAAATGATATCAGAAAGTGTTTATAAAAAAAATTAGACCAGTTGACTCTTATTTTGCAATAATGTATGATTTGTTTAAAAAGGAATAAAGTAGATTGCATTGTAAGATCATTAGTATCAAATATCGGCTAACATAGTTACAGGTTATCATAGTTTTTATAGGTCATATTTCTTGAAGAATACACAAGTAATAAATTCAATGTGAAGACAGTTTTCAGTTTCCCATTTCTCTGTGTAATTTCAAATTTATGTATAATTTAGTGTCTCTACTCAAATATTTCATTATAGGAAACTATTAATTTGTGTACCAAGTTAGTATTTTTTCTTCAGACAAAGTGGGTTATCTAAGATGATGGTGTTTATTGTTAAGCATTCATATTTTGTGTTTTTGGTATTCCTGGTTTAGAGAAATAATAGCACACAGGTAAACTACTGCTGCTTAACAAGAAGTTTTGAAGATTTGGCTTAATGGAATTTTAATGTAAAAAAAATTCAGGAGAGAAGAAACAAATTAGTGTGATGAACACAGCTATGCACTATGTATTTCATGTTTCATGTACAGTTGTTTTATAAGGCTTTTAGTTGGAAAAGATGAAATTAGAATGAAGTAAGACTAAAATTTGAAGGAAGTTAACTTATGATCAGCAGAAGGAGTGAATAAAAGATTAACATGGATGAAACTTCATCAGCAAGTCTTGGTTCTTTCAAAGAAAAGATGAACTGCTCCCTTCAAAGATCAGAACAAATCTCTCCAACAGCTCCAAAATTGCTTTTACAAAGCACATTTTCTCTGTGGGTGACCAATCAGAAAAAGAGCAGTGAAATGCAATAATATTTCTGCTACATTTGACAACCACGAGGTATCCTCCAAACACATTGTAACTGTCCCATGAAATAGCAGGTAAGTTCCTTGACGGGACAAGCTACAAAAAGTAATACCTCAGACTGCAAGTTATCATGTGACCTTAACCTGATCTAGAACAGTACTAGCATCAGAACTTTGGAAAATCGTGACTTTTGTAAATAATAGATATAAACTGTGGTAGAGGAAGATACGTAGTATCTGCATGCTACAACTTTCTTACCCCCTTGTCACAAGCCAGAATTAATTTAAATTTAATGACAGTTAAAAGTTACACAGAAATCTCATGAAATCAAATTAAAATCACAATCTTTGGTCAGATTTGATGCAAACATCACAGAATGATACAAGATATTAATGCATGCTATGATCACATATACAACAGGCCTTAGATTCACAACGAATATCCTCAACTAACACATACAGCTAGGTAAAGAATAACACATAGCAAAACCATTTAAAAGAAACAAAATACATAAAAAACCTTTTTACAGGTACAATATCTTAAAATATAGTATACAAACTCTTTATTTTAAAATTCAAGATATATATATATAAGGGGAAATTAATTTTTATTTACAATGGTGCAATAAAACATATGTCAAAGTGAAACCCTTTAAATACAAAAATAAAGGCAAACTCTTGATTACATATGGCTGCAAAATAAAATTATGATAAAATTAAAATTAATACCTGCTGTGCCGTACAGCAGACTCTGCAGTTTAGCAAGAATCTATGTT